GGGGAGAGCTGAGTCAGTTTGATCTGTGGCAAGATGAGACCCAGAAGGGAAACTTGGGCTGAGGCCGAGGAAAAAAAAAAGGCAGCGGGAACCCACAAAATGCTGCAGTCAGCAGCAATTTGAGATGACCAAGGTTCTTCCTCTTCATCACGGTGTGAGTCGGCATGAATTTGGTCTGTGGGGGCTCTGCCCTTGACCGTGCTCATATCACACAGCAGGATGTCAGCTCCAGAGCTCAGGGTAAACGTATCTCTGGCTCTGCTTTTTTGGCTTATCCATCACTTACTTACTTACCTCCAATTTTCCTTTCTTTAGGAATTCCAAGCCTCAATTTTTTTGTACCTTCTCTGAGCAAATGAGAGCTTAATGATGTTGTTACCATTAGTGCAGGCATCCGATCCTGGCCCCTACACAGGACACCTGAAGCAGCCCTAGCTCTTGTAGCAGTCCTGCAGCAAGCACCCTTAGGCTGAGAGTTCTGCAGAGGGCACTAGGGGGGAGCAGCACAGGACAGAAAAAGGCAAGGCCACAGCCAAGGCGCCTGGGAAGCCCTGGCCCTGAGCCATGCTCAGAGCAGCAATCTCACTTCCCCAGTTGCAAGAACAGTTTTTCCCGACTCCTTGCTGCTGCAGGACAAACTGTTTCTTCGAATGACTTTCGCTTCCCTCCAGGGCGGCTGTAAGCAGGGCAGAGGCAGAGCCGCAGGCATGGGGCAGGAGGGCATGCAGGGACCCAAGTTTGCTTGCAAGGTGATTTGGAGCCACCTGCCCAACTCCCTTTCCGCTGAACCTTGGGCGCTGCGTGTGCTGTGCTGCTACAGGCTGGCAGCGATCTCGACATTACGACCAGCTGCACCCCTAGACTGCACCTGCTGTGCCCTAATTAGGCTCCTGATCCTGTGGGTGAGCCAGCTATGGTGCATCTGACGGGGAGCCAGGAGACATCGCTGCTCTCCCCTCCACCCCGGCTTATGCCGAAGCGCTGGTGCTATGCGGAAAGCGAGACCTGGGAGCCCACCAGCCCTCTCCTCCCACTTGCCTCCTCCCCGCCCCAAGGTCTCCTTTCTGTCTGCGTGTGGCCACATTAGTTAATTTGCTTGGTCCAGCTCAGTTGGCCAGGAGAGCAGGCAAGCAGTCTCAATTCCCCATTTGCAGGGACAGTTTCTCTCGCCTCACCACCACCTCAGGGCAAACTGTGTCTTTGAACAGCTTTCGCTTCCTCCCCCGTAACTCTGACACGGGTGGGAGACGGCTACCATGGGGAACGGGGCTGGGGCAGTGAGGTCGTTCATGGTGCAGGAGCCATGATCTCTGACACGAGGAGCATTTTGCTCTGCTTGTCCTGCCTCTGCAGGGCAGGAGGAACTGTCCCAAGCACGGTCCCTCAGGTCATCTGATCACCCCCCACTTCCCGGCCCAGCAGGTATAAATTGCTGTCCCACTGAGAGAGCCTGTCACTGCTGCCATGGGCTGGAGATGGAGCTGCTACCTTGTGGCCCTGCTGCTCCTCTTGTCCCTGGGGCCAGGCATCGCTTTCTCACTCCTGCAGTACCGCTACGACTGTGGGGACTATAGCATGCAGCTCCTGGTGTATCCTACCCGGGGCCGGACCGTCCGCTTCAAAGTCTTGGGTAAGTGGTGGGGACATGAGTGTGCGCTCACCTGGCTCTCCTCCAGGGGATCCCTCCAGGTTACTGTATGATGATCACCTGGCTGTTACCCTGAAACCTGAGTGCCTTCACGCCCCGAGCTGAGGTCTCATCCCCTGCAGCACCTGTGCCCAGGGAGACCCTCAGCGCCACTGGGGTGAGGCAACTGCTTGAATGAGTTTCTGGCATGGGACCTCTCTGGGATTGTGCTGCTGAAAGTGGGTGTGTGGAGGGGGTGGATATCTTGCAGCTACATCCCTGGGAAACATCTTGACACAATGCCAGGCTGCCGGGACTGAGTTTGGGTCTACTGCACACCATGCGGGCAGGCAAGAGCCACTGATGGGGGCCAGCCCTGCCTGGTGCACCACGGGGCTGATGGCATGCAGCTGCTGCTTGCACCCCAGAGCACTTTGCCTACACATCCTGCATCACCACACCCCTGCCTCACTTGGTGCATGCACGCCGTCTCTGCAGACGAGTTCGGCACCCTCTTCGAAGTGGCCAACTGCTCCATCTGCCTCCACTGGCTCAACACTGGAGCAGATGGAGGGGTGATCTTCTCCTCCGGCTATGAGGGCTGCCACGTCCTGGTAAAGGTGAGGGTCCCGTCCCATATGTCTTATGCCCAGCTGCCAGCAGGTGCTGGAGGTGACCATCCCTTTTGCCTTGTTGCAGGAAGACCGCTATGTCCTGAGGGTCCGGATGGAGGAAGTGCTGATCAGCGGGGTCATTGCTGCCTCCTATGAAGTCAACATGACCTGCCCGCAGCCGGCTGACTACGATGTCCTCATGGACGGGAACATGCGCACTGAGCACCGAGGGAACGGCATTCGCCAGACCCAGGCTGGCGTTCTTGTCCCCTTACCCCAGCCCCAGCCTGGCCTCCTGCACCATGTGTCTCAGTCCGCTTTAGCTCTTCCTGGGCACCAGCTCCCACTCCAAACCCATTCGGACCAGGTCCACTCCGTGGCTCAGCCCCAGCCGGGCCTGGTACATCCTGGACTTCAGCGCCAACCCCAACCCAGCCTGGTTCGCCCAGGAGTTCAGACCCAGTCAGGGATAGTACGCCCAGGAGTTCAACCCCAAGCCCAGCCTGGCCTAGTGCACCCCGGCATTCAGACTCAGCATGGACAGGCTCGTCCTGGGCTTCAGCCCCAGTCCCAGCCAGGCCTGGTTCGCCCCCTTGCTCAGCCCCAGCCAGGCTTAATACGCCCTGGCATCCAGCCTCCAGCCCAGCCTGGCCTGCTGCATCCTGGGGCTCAGACCCAAGCGGGCCTTGTTCGCCCTGGGGTTCAGACCCAACCTGGCCTCGTTCGCCCAGGATTTCAGCCCCAATCCCAACCTGGCCTCGTTCACCCTGGACTACAGCCCCAGTCCCAGCCTGGCCTTGTTCACCCTGCACTACAGCCCCAGACCCAACCTGGCCTAATACACCCTGGTGCTCAGACTCTGACAGGCTTAGTTCGCCCTGGCATTCAGCCCCAAACCCAATCAGGCTTAGTTCGCCCTGGCCTTCAGACCCACTCTCAAGCTGGTTTAATACACTCTGGTGTCCAGACCCAAACTGGTCTAGCTCATCCTGGCTTTCAGCCCCAGTCCCAGCCAGGTCTGGTGCACTCAGGTGTCCAGGCCCAAGCTGGACTAGTACGTCCTGGCCAACCCCGACCGAGTCTAGTGCGCCCTGGGCTTCACCCCCAATCCCGACCAGGTCTAGCACGTCCTGCACTTCAGCCTCAAACCCAGCCAGGTCTAGTGCGCCCAGGATTTCAGCCCCAAGCCCAGCCTGGTTTGCTGCGTCCTGGGCTTCACCCCCAGCCCGGCCTTCTGCGCCCCACGGCTCTCTTCTACCCCTCTGCAGGGGCAGGTATTCACAGCCCTGCCAACAGGAAGGGGAGGAGGGGAGCGGCATGGTGCAGGGTCTTCTCTGCCCCTGGAGCAGGGCCAGCGGTCGCGGCCCTGAGAGAATGCTCAGGGAGGCCGCCGGGATGCTCGTTGAAGCACCTGTCCTCACCCCTCTGCTGCCCCAGGTGCCCAGCTAACACGGGAGCAGTGCCACGTGGCTGCGGGGAAGATCCCCTGTGTGGCCCCACAGGGCCGCGAGGCCTGTCTGCAGGCAGGATGCTGCTACGATGACATGGACCGCATCGCTCCCTGTTATTACGGCAACACAGGTAAGAGGCTCACAGGGCTCAACGTGGTCTGTGGAGATGTCTCCATCTCGGATGGGCTTCACCACTACCCACTGGTGTGGAAAAGGAGGCCTGAAGGTCCCTATGGCGGCTGGCACTGGTGCTGTTTGCCAGAGCCTCCAGCCCAGGGCTCCAGAGAGAGAGTCAGCCAACTGGGATCTATGGGAGGCCTGCACCTTCTTGGAGAGCCAGCTAAAGGCAGGGGGCATTGTAAAAAGCACTGCTCCCATAGCCCTAAACCTGTCACAACACAGGAGCTATGCTTTTAGCCTGTCAGGACCTGGACTCTTTTTAAAACTTGTGTTTGCTGAGCACCCATTTCCTTGTGTTGCAGCCACTGTCCAGTGCCTGCTGGATGGGCACTTCATCATCGTGGTGCCCCGGGGCCTCTCCACCCAGCCCTACAACCTGGACAGCGTGCGGCTGGCCAATGCCGAGGCCAACTGTGACCCCATCAAGGTGACAGAGGCATTCGTGATGTTCCGCTTCCCCGTCACTCAGTGCGGTACCACCGTCCAGGTAAGGACATGGCCCCCTGGTTCCCCTAGCAGCTCTGCCCATGGGCCTCAAGAGGGAAAGCTGGCCCTGGATGTGTATTCACCCCAGGTGATCGAGGACCGGCTGATTTACGAGAACCAACTGATCTCTACCATCGATGTGCAGTCAGGACCACATGGCTCCATCACACGGGACAGCGTTTACATGTAAAGGGAGGGAAAGGGGGGGCTGAGCTGCCTTCTGGCTGTGAAGGACATCAGCTCTCCCTGCCAAAGGGACCTGGGAGCTTGCATTTCCCCCTTAGCAAAACCTATCCTGCTTAGCCTCTTCCTGACATGAGGAGTCCAAACAGCTCCCCCTCTTCCTGGCTCCTGTCAAAGAGTTTGGGTGCCAGAACAGGGCATTGATGTAAATACCAAGGGCTGAGAATACGGTTGTGCTCTGGTGGTGCCCAGCTCTCCTTTCGCAACAAGAGCTGGTCCCTGCTTAGGGAGAGAACTAATAAAGTTGCTGGCTCTAAGTCACAGAGCTGTCTAGATATAGCCTGTGACTCCTCTAAAATGGGCTTTCATGTTTTCACCCTGCTCTTTCCCACACAGCCTCCATGCTCGCTGCATCTACAATGCCAGCGACCTCCTGCTAGTTCGCGTTGAGGTTGCCGTGCCCCCCACAGCTGCACCCCTGACTGAGCCAGGGCCTCTCCGGCTCCAGCTACGCATTGCTACTGGTGAGCAGCCCACCTGCCAGCCCCACGATGCCCCCACAGGGCCACAGCTAGCTCAGCTTCTCCCTCTTCTCCCGCAGATGAGAGCTACAGCACCTACCATGAGGACAGTGACTACCCCCTTGTGAAGGTACTGAGGGACCCCATCTACGTGGAGGTTCGCCTCCTGCAGAAGACAGATCCCAACCTCGTCCTGGTCCTACACCAGTGCTGGGCAGCCCCCAGCACCAGCGCCACGGCAGAGCCCCAGTGGCCCATCCTGGTGGACGGGTGAGCAGGAGGCAGGCTGGGAACGGAAGGACGGCAAGGTGGAGGGGCACCATCAGCAGTGACCAAGGGTCCCTCTTGTGCACTCAGGTGTCCATTCGTGGGGGACAACTACAGGACCCAGCTTGTGCCCGTGGGACCAGCCTCACCGCAGCTGCCCTTTCCGAGCCACTACCAACGCTTTGTCGTCTCTACATTCACCTTTGTGGATTCTCCCTCCATGGTTGTGCTTGAAGGAGAGGTGAGGAGGGGGTGGACGTATGCCATGGCAGGGGGACTTCTCCATTCAGCCCTGCAGAGTGAAACATGGTTTGGTCTCAGCTCTCAGAGAGACTCAGCTACAAGCACTCAGATGCAGTGCACAAGGCCCTGTGACTTTTGCCCTGCAGCATTAGCCCTGTGACTTGGCCACAGACCTCGGAGCTCTCCAGCAGTCCCACCTGAGTGCTGGGCTCCTCCCTGCCTGCCCATGGCAAGATACCTGCAAAACCACACGTGTTCTGCCACGTCTAGAGTGGCTCAACACCCAAGAAATAGGCTCCTTCCAGGACACTTGGTGAATACAGCTCCCCAGAGTTTGTCCTTCAAAGTTTTGGGAGCATCCACCATCCAACTTCTAATATCAGCAATTCCCCTCTCAACATCCTAAACACACCCCTGGTACTTCTGCTGAGCAAATCCTGTGGTTTCCCACCCAGTAAAAGATCCCTGGCTTATGATGTGCTGGCACAGGCATCTTTGCCATGTGCTAAGTAGTCTCTCCTCTGCTCTCTGACCGTGGCCCTACAAAGCAAGCAAAGAATCTACATTGTATTATAGGGTTTCCTTTAGGTGAAGGGCCAGGAGCTGTTTCTCATGAGGCCAAAGGGCTGGGCTTCCTGTCTGCTGGCTCCTCGTCCCACCAGCATGCCAGATGCTAATACTGTGCAAATGCATGGCTTTCAGGTGTACATCTTCTGCAGTGCCTCTGTGTGTCACCTCTCGCAGCCAGAGCCCTGCCGGCCCTCCTGCCAGCTGGGAGTGCCATCAAGTAAGTCTGCATGCATTCAACCAAATACACTGGGAGGGCTTTCTTAGTAGCACCCAGCTGCCAAGATAGATGCTGCCCTGCCAGCAATGTACAACATGTGCTCCTGCATGACCTCAGCGCATGCCCACAGGCTGGCCCATCACAGGTTTGACAGCCTGTTTGGCTGTCACAGGTTTGATGAGAGGGTTTGACAGCCTGTTTGGTAATGGCATGCTAGCCGTTGTGGGACCTCTGGCTACCTGCTGCACACCTCCATGTTCTGCTAATAACCAGCAACCCTCTTCCATGCCAACCCCTGGTGTCCCTCCACAGGAGCCCGCCGGTCTCTGGGTGACAAGATGACACCAGATCCTGTTGACACAGTCATTTCTCAAGGACGCATAGTCTTCCAAGAGAACCCCAAGGTGCAGAAAGGCTGAGTTCAAGGGTGTAGGGTGAGTTTTCCTGCTATGGTCAAGCAGACCTCAGGCGAGAGCTGAAAATGTACAATTTTCATCTCTGCTCTTACTGCCCTCCCTACCACCTGCCCCTTTGCCCCAGGTAGCATTGGTTCACATCTTCCTCCTCCACAGCCCTTGCTTCCAGGATGGACCTGATCGGACATCTGGCTCTACTCTCCTTCATGGCAAACGTGCAGGACAGGAAGGAGGGAAAAAAAAAAAACAGTAAATATTGTGGCTCAGGCTAGAGGCTTTGGTGGCGTTTTGTCTGTGGGTGGCACCCACATCCTCCTCTGAGCTTCCCTTACGTGTTACAGACAATCACACAATCTTCTTCTACCCCTCTGGCTGGTGGCTGTGATGTCTCCCTCTCCATCTAGCACTTCTCTCTGGTCCATCACATTCTTGTCTTTTCCACTGCCTCCGTCACATAAGCCCTCATGTTGATTTAAAGGAGAAATGCATCTAATCAGTGTGTGTTTGCTGTCCATGTAGCTCCTCCCATGCATGCCCAAAGGAAACATCTGCATACCTCAAGGCACGGAATAAAGAGGGGCTGTTTGAAGTTAGAGCATACACAAGTGCCACGGGGTGGTCTAGAAGCCCTAGTTTCTCCCCATGCAAGGGCAGCAGGATGCATGGGACCAGGCTCAATGTTTAGCCATGCTAAGGGTGGGCTAACTTAGAAAAGGGAAAAACTGAAGCATCTGTAAGCCCAGGCCAGCTCCTGGCACAGGACCCACATGGGATATTCTCCTCCTCTCCGGCCCCAAGAACCAGGCACAAATTTACTCTTACTGGTACCTGTCCTGCCTGCACCAGCCACTTATCAAAGCCATGGGCAACGGGACAGCAAACATAGCACCTTTCCCTTCTCTAAACCCTCACCCAAGCCTTGGCTAGACTGCAAAGGGCTAAATCCAGTCTCCTCTGTCCCTGTCCACCTCAGCCCTCAAGATGCTGCAGAAATCCCTGGTACCCTGGCTCTGCTGCTCAGGCAGTGCCTCTGCCTGGCCTGCTCTCAGTCTCTGGCCTGCCCCCAGTCTCTAGCCTGCCCAAACATCTGCTGCAGGCAGGGCAGCGATCCCCGCCAGCCCTAACTTGCCATGGCCATGCATCTGGGATCCGGCAGCGCTCTGCCCTCCTGCCAAGCCGCTGCTCATCAATACAGAGCCCTCGGCCCTCTTGGACAGCAAATAGCACGCCTGGGGGTGCCAGAAGGAGGGAAGGGAATGCAGGGACAGACGGATCAGTTCACACTGATAGTGTGGATGGCCCAGTGCCAGGAAGTGAAGGTGAGCTTTAAGAACTGGGCGAGCTTCCCTGCATCCCTTCCCACTGTACATTCAGTCCCCCAGGGGTCATCATGGCAGAATTAAAAGGGATTGCAGAAAGATGCTTTAGCCCCTCACAAAGGTACCTGGCAGAAATTCTGTGGCCTCATAATGCTGGAAGTCAAATCAGAGACTGCACACCCCGCTTCTGCCAATCTCCTGGACTTCCTAGGTAACCAGGGAGAGCTGGTGGCTGCTGCAGGGCTGGACCTTGAGCCTCGTTGCATTGACAGTGGAGCAGAGATCTACAGTGATCCCCTCCTGTCTCCATCCCAGAGGTGGGAGATGGATCACAGCCATTTCTAGCTGGAAGGGAGGAGGCCAGGGACAGAGCCTAGCCTGCCCAGCTTGTGGAGACCCCATTAAAGGTTTCACTCCCACAGAACTCAGTGCAGTATATTAACTTGTTTCTCTTACCTCTCTGGCTGCCTCAGACATAAGCGTCTGTGGAGGATGGAAAGCGCCAGTCCAGCATCTCAGCTCTTCAGTGGCGCTCATCCAACAGAGACATGTACAGAGGTGGGTGCAAGAGACCCCCATGAGGGCACAGCCTATCTCACCTTCAAACAGACATCCAGAAGAATGGGGGAACTGCACCTGGAGAAGTCCTTTTTCCTCAAGCAATCACAAAGCAAGAGCCAGGGTGTCTAAAGTAAGGCAAAACAGATCTACCCCTTCTGCTCCTCCAGTATCTGGTGGAAAAAATAAGGCCAAATTATGCCCCAGGATCTGCTACAAAAACTGCAGGGAGAGGAGCAGCTGTTTGATAGGGGTCCTTTGAAAACATCGGGCCTTGCCTGGCTCCAGGCAGCCCCAGGTTTGCCCCTGCTCCAATATACCCAGATTTTCACCGGACCCTTCCTTATCACACAGGACTAGATACCTCCACGGCCTGGATGTGAGAAGTCACGAGGGAACAGGGCTGTGAGCATTGCCTAGCTCACCAGAGGAGGGTCCTGAGAAAGAAACACATCTTTATGCTCACAGTCAAAGCTACAGCAGGTCAGGATAAGAGCAGCTGTTCCACCAAAGCAGGGAAGACACATCCCCATTAATGGCTTCTATGCACCAGTGGTGGGGAGCACATCCCAGGGCAAACAGGGCGCTCTGACTGCCAACAGTGTTACCCAGTGCCAGGAGCACTGCAGATGCAGCTGGCTGGTCCTTTCAACCCCCTCCTGGGCACCTGGATGACAGCAAGTTGTGCACATACCAGGTAAGATGAATAGTTCTTTATTTCCATAATGAAACTAGATAACTGCTTACAAAACCTGCACGTTCTCCCTCCCCCCCCTCCCTTCTTACGCACATTCCCACTAAGGTCTCTCAGTCACTAACACCCACCAGCAAAGGGTTGGAGCCTTTTGTTGACTCAGTGACAATCACAGAAAAGAATCTAAAGCCAGAAAGACAAACACGAAACCAGAAAAGGAGAAAAACAAAACAAATCCATAAAGCACAGAGAAGGCGACATCCTGGTAGCTTCCCTTCTGCCAACAGCTAGAGCAAGGAAGCCTAGAGAAGCAATGAAACACGCTTGTCTCCCTCCCCTCCCACATAGCCCCCCCCCACCCCAATACTCCCTCCATCCCTCCCCAAACCCCAACACTGCAGCATGAGACCCCCTTGACCCCACATCTGGGGTTACAGACTGTAGAACTTCAGGCTCCGGTCCATGCCCGTTGAGGCGATGAACTTGGCGTGGTGGCCAAAAGCCACTCCTGTGGTGAGGCCGCTGTGTTCTGGGGAAGGAAAGCAGCATGTGGTTATGGCATGACTAGAGGAGCTTGGACAGAGCAAAGCATTGGGCTTTAAAGGAATTAGCCTCTGCTACATGCTCTTTCTATGCTGAGGGTCACTGACTCGCAGCACTAAGGGCAGAAAAAGATCATCTCCAAACTTGGCCCGTTCTCAAGATCCTGAGAGTTCACACTGCACAGCCAAGGGAGTGCCCGCACATTCTCCCCTGCACCCAGGGTAACCACTGGCAGAGACACTGATGGAGATGCTATCACTTTGCACCCCCCAGGTATGTCTGCAGCGCCATGTACATCAGAATCAGAAGAATTCCTCTCCCCAAGGAGGGCACCTGAATGCCTCCCCTCCAACCTTCCCCCAGTCTGCCTCCTCCCAAAGCCTCTACCAGCTAGAACCCCTCACCTGTGAAGTGGAGGATTTCTGTCCACTGCTTGCAGATGTAGATCTGAACATCCGTCCCTCCCAGGGCCAGGTAGGTACCGCTCTGGTCAAAAATGAGAGACTTCACCTGCAGAGGAGAGGGAGAAGAGGCTCCAAACTGGCCATTGGGTGCCAGGGAGGCAGCAACTCCTCTCAATGCCAACACCCATAGAGGGAACCCACCACAACTGGCACCTCTGCATCAGGCTCCCCCAGAGCGGAGGAGCACAGTCAGCACAGGGCTGGGAAAGTGGATATGGAGACAGGAACCTGCGAGCCTGCCCAGGCAGGTGATCACAGGGAAGGGTCACACACCTCAAAGTTATTGTCCAGCTGCAATGTCTTGAAGTTCTTGAGCTTACGCAAGTCCCAGAGCTTGACAGAGGAGTCGTCTGCAGCCGTGGCAAGATAGTAGCCATTCTCGGAGAAGGCAATGCTAGTGATGGGGCCCGAGTGCCCTGGGAAGTTGGCCACATTGGTACGTTCCTGGGAACAAGACAATCAAACGCTGGTGGCTCATAGGGAAATGCTGAATCCAGCATCCTCAGCCCTCCCAGGGCACCTTGGGTTGGGGTCTGGGCAGCAGTTTGGCAGACAAAGTGCAGGTAAGCACAACAGCCCCCAAACGGGCGGGATGGCAAAAATCTGCATGTGCCCAGAGAAGTGGGGGTGAGGAAAGCCATGGGGCACCGTCACCCCATGCAGCACCCGAACTCCTACTCTTCACATCAGCTCCAGGGACATGACAGAGCAGAACCCGGTAACTGCTGAGCTCTGTCCATATAGCTCAGCCAAGCAGACAGTCTATGCCAATCTGTTATCAATCTGCTTCAGAGTTACTCATCCCACAGCAGAGCCAGACAGCCTGCCTGCAAACACTCCTGCTCCCCAGTAGCTCTCTTAGGGACACAGCAAACACCTCGTCACAAGATCACGATTGCCAGCTAAAGCACCAGAAAAGAGGCAACTCTTGAGCTGAAGTGTTATGTTTTTGGAGAAAATGGCAGAAGAGATCCCCAAAGCCTCCCCCCAGACTCTCGCTTCAGCAGACATAGGCTTCGTGCCTTCGACTGAGCACTATGCTGGGCACTGAACTGAACAGACCAATACACCAGCTGTGTCCCCTTGCACCTCCCCAAACCCTCTTGCCTGCCCGGAGCTACCCTTACCTTCAGATCCCAGATCTTGATCTGGGAGTCCATTGTCCCTGTTCCAAAAATGAGCCCGTCTGGATGGAATTGGGCACAAGTGAGAGCTGCAGAAACACAGGGAGAAATTCAGAGCGCTGGGGAGAGTCTATCCTGGAACACCTTCTCACCTTGTTACCAGGCCCCCCCACAAGCTTTTACAGGGTCCTGGAAACCCAGGGACCTGTGGGCAGAAAAATCCCTTCTCCAAAAACTCACAACAGCCCCTAGGGATAGAGATACCCAGCCACAAGCCTTACCACAGCCAGAGCTCTCATCCGTCACCTTGGTGAGGATACGGCCTGTCTGGATATCCGAGAAAGCCCAGTACTGGAAGAGATAAACAGGGCATTGAGTACCCAGAGACGAGGGGTGAGGGGGTGTCTGTACTCTCTGTGCTCGGTCTCACCTGGTCATCAGAAGAACTGAGGAGGTAGTCACCTGTTGCATGGAGACTCAGCCCTGTCACAGAGCCCTCATGGGCACGGACAACTTGCACACAGGAAGCATTGGGCACAGACCAGATCCGGATAGTAGCATCAGGAGAAGCTGAGAACACCAAGTCCTAGACAGGGACGAGGCAGGGAGGTTAATGCCAAAGGCATACGGTCAAAAGACTTTCACCTCTCCACCTAAGAGTTTCCTACGGACAAGAACTGGCCCATCACCAGTCTGCCTGAGATGAAGACCCCTCACCCCCTAGAACAGACCACCAGGAGATGGGTCCAGGATGTCTGATCTGGAGTCATTTGGCTATGAGGAAAGAGGCCAAACATGGGCATGATCGCACCTGAGATGGGTGGAACACAACACTGGTAACCTTCTTAGAGTGTCCCTTGAGCGTTGCAAGGATCTGCTCCGAAGTCTTGTCAAAGACAATAACGTTTTTATCAGCCCCCCCTGCAAAATAAAGTGGAGACTTGTAAGAGACGGGAGTCTGTGGCTAGCCAAGTCCAAGTCCGCCCATCTTTCCTCAGGATCACGTTGTCCTGAGACGCTTTGCACTGAGTTGAGAGAATTTCTTATGCCCCTTGCCACACACCCATCCCCTGGAAGCACAGAGAAAGGGACCTGCACCAAGGCAGCCGCAGCTCTTTGCTAACAGCAGCCAGCCCCCCGCAAGTGGGGACGACTCCCTTACCAGTGAGGATCTTGTTGGTGTCGGAAGGACAGAGGTCCAGGGCAAGGATCCCTGGGATGCTGGCACTGTGCAGCCCCTGCACAAAGTAAAAGGTCATCAGATTAATGCTACAAGCAAGAAAAAGCCCCAAAGGGAATTGAGAGGCTCTTGAGGGGAACCCAGAATGTTTCCTTCCAACAGTGGGAATCTGTGCCACATCTATTCCAGCACACGCCCCTACCCCTGACCGGCTGTGGCACAGAACGCCATGACCCTCTCCCTGCGTTGCCCAGCAGCAAATCTGTTGCTCATTAAGCTGCAAAGCAGCAAAGGAGATGCCTGGATGCCCAGCTGGCAGGGCTAAGTTTTCAAGCCCTTGTCTCATGCCATGGCACTCACCACGTGCGAAGCCACCTGCCGGTACTTGCTGAGCTCCTCTGGCTTCACCAGCTCCTCTGGAACCGTCTTCCCTCTCTGCAGAAGAGAAATAGCATGGAGGCAAATAATGGCCTCCCTCAGGGGCATTTCACATCCTGATTTCCACAGCACCTTGTTTCACATCACCCAAAGCCACTCAGCTCCATCCCCCAGAGCAAGATGCAGCCACTCACCTTCTTACGCTCCGTGGTCAGCACCGTAGCCTTGTCTTGAAGCTGCAAAACAAGAGAAGGTTGGTAACACACTGACTCAGCTCTCACAGTGGGAAACTGGAGAACAGCAGCTGCCAAAGGCCATGGCAGCACAAGTGGAAGATCCTTTACCTTCTGAATGATCTCGGGGGTCATGCCCGCAAGCTCTCCCAGATCCATGGCCTCCCCAGCACCCTGTACAAGACAGAAGGGGGCTGGTTACATCCAGAAAGGAAACAAAGGGCAAACGTGCAGAGATATGCAGTCTCAACTCACTGCCACATTTGGCTGGGAGGATGGCACCGTCTGGGGCACGATGAGGCCAGCCTGGGGTTTCAGAGTTGCCAAGGCTGCAGAGGCAGAGAAAGCCTATAAGTTAGACAGGCCACTTGAAGGCAAAAGGAGATGGTGTCCAGCCCAGCGATCTCTATTGAGCCCACCTGCTCCAGGGCCATACAGTGCCCTCTGCTCCCCAGCCCACTCTCCCCGAGACCCAGGACGTTATCCAGAGGTACATAGCCCCCACACAACTCCACGTCACCTTCTCTGGCCGCGGTGACCTCCTTGGTGAGCCGAGCAATGACACGGCAGGCAGCATCGTGCTGGTAGAGTGCGTGGGACAGCTCCTGGCGTGTAGTCTGCAGCTGCTGACGGAGGGTGAAGCTATGCAGCATGACAGCATCCTGGCAGGACAAGGAAGAGCCAGACAGGCAGGGGAACACATTAGCCCCAGTGCAGATAGCCCTTTCTCCCCGAAGGGGCCAGCACTGGTACTCCGCTCCATTCTCAGCCCCAACCCAGCTAGGGGCCAGCACTTACCCACTCATCCTGGAGGGCTTTCAGGATGGCTGGTATGCTAGTAGCAGATGGCGGCTTGGGTCGGATTGGGTGGGCGACTGTCAAGGAGATAGTGTGAACATATCAGTCTCTGGGGTCAACTGTGTCCTCAGCATCACCTAAAAAACCTGTTTCCTGCCAGTCCCTTCATACACACACACACTCCTTTCTGTTTACATCTTCTAGCAATCCATCCTTTCAGCTCAGCTTTCTGACTGCATCAGTGACTGACCAGTCCCTTGGGAAATCTTTTCTCAGGGTCCCAGCACTTTCTCCTGATGACTTAGAGCTGCTGCCAGAATAGATACAGCCACTGGTCCAGTTTATCTGGCAGTCTGCCCTGGGCACAGCCCACAGCACAGCAACACAAGATACCTAAAACCCCAGCTGTGCACATCCCACCTCTGCAGATCACAGATTTTTCCAGTTGCACATCACTGCTGCACTGACTCTACTCTGCTGCTGCTTCTCCAAGTCCTTTCTCTGGCAGCATTATCCACGTTCATAAATCTACCTGCCTATGCCTAAAATGGCTTGTGCATCTCTGTCCTGTGCCCCCAATCCTGATGCAGCCGAGACCCCTGTGCTTCCCCAGAGAGAAGCAGTACAGGCATTGCAAAGCACAGGTACTCAGGCTCTGGGCGCCTCTGCTCCTGGCACATGCCCTTCTTACCTTTGATATCTATGAGCTGCTCCTCCGAGAGAGGCTGGTTGTTTACAGGGTCGGTCCCATTCTCTGCAATGTACTTCTCGATCAGCCTGCGCTCATAGACATGGTTGGAGACTGGTGACACGCAGGGGTGCTCAGGCACCTCGTTAGAAACTGTATGAAGAAAGGAAGGAAGATTTCACAAATTACAGCACCACTGCATAGCATAAGATTAGGTCCTGACATGGCTCAAGTGCTGGCAGTCCCTGCTGGCCTGTTGCCTCTCACAAGCGAGAAAAAGGGCTACCCAAAAAACTGAAGTCCTCCCCAAGAATGCAACTACACTGTGCAACATGCCCTTGATACGAGAGGCAGACCAGACCTCCTTCTAAGACGTATGTTGCCACCTCTATGCCACACTAGCAAAACATCTATCGCTCCCCTCCCCATCAGCCAAGCCAGTGCAGGCCCAGAGGCCAAGTGCACCCAGGTCAGCGCCTCAAAAGGCAGCTATTAGCAAGCTTTCCGAAATCTTTCTATACTACTACGCGAGTGTGGCTCAGGCCCCCAGCGCTCCCTGCTTGTGCTGCCTGCTCAGACAAGGCGTCAGCAGCAGGTTTCTCCTCTCAGCTGGCGGATCGGAGAGGCAGCTGCTAGCTGCGGGTAGCTGCACCGGCTGATAGAACCCTTTCTCCGTGCTGCCGCATCCTTGGGGTAACGGCCCTGCTTTCGCGGAGCACCGCCGGCAGGTGAGAGCTGAGGGGAGAGTCGAGGCCCTTCGCGCCCTGCTCCGCACCCCCCGGCCGCGACAGCGAGCGCGGCGGAGGGGGCAGAAGAGGCTCCTCACGGCGACACAAGC